CCGTGACTCCAAGGTCGGACATCTGATATCTCGTTGTGATCGGCCCAACGGTGGGATGGCGAGGTCACACTGCTTTACACCTCACCAAGGTGAAAGCTACTTCAGTCAAAGCCTATCTTCCGTCTTACAGTCCCTAACATTCAGATCAGAACGTCTTGGTCTGCATACACCATCCACCTCAAGCTAATTCCAGGCATCGTAAAGCATCCCGAGGAACTCTTTAACTCGAGACTGAGAAAACATAAGTTGCACTCAGAACCCAACAGCATGACTTGCATACGTTTATCGCAAAAGCACATACAAATGATGGGGCATCCTGGACACACGAAGGATAGATGTTGAAACGACTCGCGCTAGAACACTGTCCACGGGAAAGTAGCGGCGCATTCGACTGGCTATAAACTGCGGCTGATTTCCTGACATGGCTCTTGATTTGATGCCCCTCGGCCATGTTCTTGTCGGCCGGGACCACCAATCTGCAAGCACTCCAGCGGCTGCAATCACTGACTGGATATGAAGTATGCGTGGCGAAGTCGAAACTTGGGAAGCCAGCAGATGTGAAGCGGTCAATAGTTTAGACCGGTTAGGATCCTGTCCGGAAATGGGCTCTTTTGGAGTTTGGACGAGTCAGCCTGTCCTGTCTCCCAAGAGGCATCGTGACATGTCCCTCAACCGAGACTTGACTGGCCAGCGAGCATCACGAGGACCCTAAGTACGGTAGCAGCTTCGGTCGTGCAGCTTGTGGTTGATAGTTCGATATCAGTTGTCGCTGTCCGTCCAACGGCTTGGCACAGGAAAAGCAGTGATAGTGAATGCCGCAGGCGGCCCAAGCCGGCACCCGGCGAAGTTTTCGGCGAGACCCCCGCAAATACGGTAGCCCAAACGCGGTGGATGTGCTGCAGTCAAAGCACGCACCCTCCCAAGAACCTTACGAGCCCACCTGCGATCGCGCATCTCCACATCACACTTACAGTCACGCTCGCCATTGCGCAATCCTTAAACTTCCCCGCAACCTACTGTCCAGCCTCGCCACATCTTTTTTTCGGCAACCGCCACTCCTTGTATGGGACCCCATCACTCCTTCCTCCTTCTCCGCACACACCGTGTCCTCAGGAGTTGTCACTTTTGCTCGCCGCGCGCGACATCATCTCGGCAATCTCCCATGAGCTCCCGTTCCTTCCCGTCGAACCCCCCGCTCCGGTAGCTCTGGTTGTGTTGACGAGCACTGTCGACAAAGCACCGTCGCGCCTTCCCTGACGCGCATACAAGGCATACCTGTTAAGGAGAAGTCGCGGTACCCTGGGAGCCGCTTCTGCCCCGAAGTGGGTCGCAGCCACAGAAAAGCCGTGCGCCGTTGGACATCTACGAAGCTTCGCCTTTATGTCGACACTCGACAATGTACGTTCAATATTCTTACACCACACCCCCTCTTTCTTCGCCTCCTATCACGATCTTTGCCGACTAAGCCTCTACAGACCAAGGTCCCCGCCAATATGTCGGCAGACACTGCGCCACCTCAGCGCTTGCTGCAACTACGTTTAGCGTTGTCGCAGCCGGTAGTCGCATCGTTCACTGCAGGCGGCATCGCCGGCGCCGTATCGCGCACTGTCGTCTCTCCCTTGGAGCGCTTAAAGATCCTCTTCCAGGTCCAGAGTGCTGGGCGGGACGCATATAAGATGTCAGTTCCAAAGGCCCTCATGAAGATGTGGCGCGAGGAAGGCATGCGGGGGTTCATGGCAGGGAACGGCACCAATTGCATACGGATCGTCCCATACTCCGCCGTACAGTTTGGGAGCTACAATTTCTACAAACGCGTACGTAAACCCTTGACGGCCAAGGGGCATTTGACTAAAATGCGCAGTACTTCGAGAACACACCCGGGGCGAAACTGAATGCCGCGCAGCGGCTTGTGTGCGGCGCTTGTGCCGGTATCACCTCTGTAACGTTCACCTACCCGCTCGACATTGTCCGGACTCGGTTGTCGATTCAGTCAGCTTCGTTCAAGGAGCTCGGAGATCGCGCTAAGGAGAAATTGCCAGGGATGTGGGAATCAATGGTGATCATGTACAAGACGGAAGGGGGCATCACCGCCCTGTACCGTGGAATTGTTCCTACGATCGCCGGAGTTGCACCCTATGTGTGTACCTTCTTGTATACCTTTTGCACTTGTGGCTGACATAAGCAGGTCGGGTTGAATTTCATGGTGTATGAGAGCATGCGCCAGTACTTCACTCGTCCGGGCGAGAAGGACCCTGTGGGACTTGGCAAGCTTGCGGCTGGAGCTATTGCTGGGGCTGTTGCACAGACTTGCACGTACCCTTTGTAAGTTATTTGGACGCAACCGGAGGGGTCTTTGCTGATAAGTACTCAGTGACGTGCTGCGTCGGCGGTTCCAAGTGAACACCATGTCTGGAATGGGCTACCATTACAGCTCCGTCACCAATGCTATCGTGTCGATCATCAAACTGGAGGGATGGCGTGGGCTCTACAAGGGCATCGTACCCAATCTCCTGAAGGTAGCACCTAGCATGGCGGCATCCTGGTATAGCTATGAGCTCGCCAGGGACTTATTCCTTTCCTTAGCGCCCCCGACAGAAGAAATCTAGACAGTAGATACCCTTCAGCAACCATCAACAGCTTTGTAGCTTGTTGCCCACTCCTTCACGATGTCTCCACCGCAGGAACCGTCACTTCTGTTTTCTCTCTCACATGCGGGCAACGGAGGTATGCACACGTTCTAGCGCCTTGTACTTGCATTGGGCTCGGTCAGATGGATTTACGGGCGTTTTACGGCGATCGATGAGTAGGATAGATGACGATCGGGGGTCTACATGGAACTTGTACTTTATCACTCGGAGCGTCGACTTTGTCGATCAAGACAGGCTTCCCTTAGAGGTCGTGTTGCATATTATTCTCTGTAATATGAAATGGTGTCAGACGTATCTTGCCGCTATAACTGATGATAAGCTCTGCCGGTCGAAGTTGTGCACTGCATAATTTGAATAGACACGAGAATGCAGGCAGCCCATGCACGTCTCGAGTGCATGGAAGCCTTCGGGGCAGTAAATCTGATATCGAAAGGCGCCAAGGCACAAAGCCACACGCGCCAGGCATCAAAGCACAAACGCGTGCCAAGCCCACGGAGCGGGAGATAACCGAGCGAAATCCTCCTCCACACTGAGTCTCTTTTTCAATTCCACACCCACTCCAGTTTCCGCCGACAATCGCCAACCACAGTTGCCATGGGTATTGAGTACGTTTTGTCTAATGCTTCGTCTACTCGGATATTCTTTGGACCTCGGACAACCAGCTCGCTGCAGACACTGGCCTTTGTGGGCACAATTGGCGATGAATCGTGCTCTCGATGCCAAATTTGCGGCCACCGGTCTCTCTCGAGAACATGGCTTCACCTTTGCAAATATGGCTCCTCGAAGCACGATCTTTGAACCTAGTGTCAACGCGGCTGGCTGCTCCGAGTTCCAGCGAACGACCGTTTCCGTCAACCACCTCGTAGCTAACATTGGACAGTCTGGATAAGCACCACGTGCGGAACTCGCACCGCAAGGCCCCGAAGAGCGATGACCCGTATGTCAAGCTCCTGGTCAAGCTCTATGCTTTTCTTGCGCGCCGTAGGTCCCGAGTGAAATATATCATTGCCAACGCTAACATCTGTGCAGGCACGGACAGCCCATTCAACCAGGTGGTGCTGAGGCGTCTTAAGATGTCCAAGATCAACAGTAAGCGAGTCCACTGCTGTATGCAGTTCGGGCGCTGAATAAAGCTTGCTAGGGCCCCCTCTGTCCCTGTCCCGCATCGTGGCCTCTGCTGCCAACGAGCACACCGCGAAGACCCACGAGGGCAAGACGATCGTCGTTGTCGGCAAGGTCACTGATGACACTCGGTACGTCCATATGTTGAGCGTATGTGAATGAAAACTAATCTCAGCAGCCTGCTCGAGGTTCCCAAGCTCTCCATTGCGGCCATGCGCTTCACCGCGACTGCCCGTGCCCGCATCCTGAAGGCTGGTGGCGAGTGCCTGACCCTGGACGAGCTTGCGCAGGTGAATATCTCGGACAACCTCATCCAATCAGAACTAACTCAGTGCAGCGCTCTCCCACCGGTGCCAACACCCTGCTCCTCCGCGGCCCGAAGAACGCCCGCGAGGCCGTCAAGCACTTCGGCTTCGGTCCCCACTCGCACAAGAAGCCTTACGTTGAGAGCAAGGGCCGCAAGTTCGAGCGTGCCCGTGGTCGGAGACGTTCGCGTGGTTTCAAGGTCTAGGCGTGTGGTTGTGTGGGAGATTCTGATGGGTCCTGTCTTCCTTTTTTGCCTTTCACTCGGACGGAGCCTGGTTTCTTACGGCACTGCAACTTGCATGAGGCGAACAACGGGGATATGAGAATTCCAAAAATGCAAAATGCTACGAACTGACTCCTTGCCCGAAATGGATGACTTTGTCTGTGCACTAAGATTTCAACGTCCTCTATCAAGCTGGCGACGGTGTCTGAGATAATGAGATGTTTGTTGAAGAACTAGCCTTCATTTCCGTCTCACTGTATGCTGAGACGGCATGGCCTTTTGAACAAGACATAGAATGTGGCCTGGGCGGATCGTTTTTTGATCCTTGACGATTCTTCCGGCGCTCTAGAAATATCCGTAGCTGCACCAGACGGACTGGGCTACATCTTGAATACGCTCGAATGGGCCATGCCTAATGCGCTATTCGAATTGAAAGAAGCGCCGTTTCTGATTGTGATCATGAAACCGCAACATCGATCGCCTTCACCAGATTTCTCAGCGTACGCCACCCTCGATCCACCCAAAGAAGAGGATCAAAAGGCAAGCATGGACGTTACAGCAAGTCCGGTCTGTACTCAAGGCTGTTTCCTAAGATAACGACCTCGTCCGATCTTAGTCCGCGCGTCGCCACTTTCCAGCCTCCCGTCCTTTCTCCCGGTCTCCACTCACGAACCCAGGGGGAAGAAGGGGTTTCATTAAGCGGTTCAGTGGTGTAGTCGGTTATCACACCTGTCTAACATGCGCTCCTTTGCGAGTGTTCACAGGTGGTCCCCGGTTCGAATCCGGGCTGAATCATTTTTGGTACGGCGGGATATGCATGTGGGGAATGGGCATCTGGGATGGACTTTCTTTTTGGGTAGTTGCAAGGGGTTGGGATCGGGTTTGATCCTTCGGGTTTTTGGAAGGTTCTGTGGTGTTGGAGTGATTGCTGGGGGATCTGCGATTTGGGTTGGTGATCTGGTGTAACTGGGGCGGTACTGACGGTGGAATGGGTGACAAGATGAATGATCATGGCCCTAATCGGGATATGCTAGAGAGATGGAGAGAAACCGTCACGAGACCGTCGACGCTCCTTGTGCTTTTGCAATCCGACTCCCGATCTCATTCTATTCCTACGATGGGAGCTGGGGAGGCTCGGGTCCGATCTGGGGTTTACCAGGGCCGTTGACTTGATGGTCCATAACACCGGTGGCTTGCAATGCTTCCACTGAAAGAGGATGACGACGCATCGCACGCATCCCGTGTCATGTATCATTGCATCAACTACTCCTGTCAACCCCAGAACGGACCCGAGCATCCCCAGCTCATTCTACCCCCACGAAAGCAATGGAGCTTCCAGCCTCGACGACGACGGATAGAGACGGTAATCAAACAAGATACGAGGTACAATGATTCCAAGTTAAAATGATGAGACCGAGAAGGATGGGAGGTATGTTGAACGGAAGCTGAGAAGTACACTGGTTGAAAGGGATGCTGTTAGGAAAGACGAGAAAGCCATGGTATCGATGAAGGAAAAGAGGTATCCTAAATATGTGCTGCCGCCGCTTGCTTGCCTGTAACACGCCAATGCCCAAGTGTGCCGGAAGTATCCCACGATGCCCGACTCCACCTGCTGCCGAATAAAGATGCCACAGCGCCCAAAAACAGAATATACAAATCAAAACGAGAGTGCCATCGCCCCTGCCCCTGTCATACCCACTTCCAGAAGCGAACTATGCCGAGGGGCGTGACGAGTCAAGTGAAGCGCACTGAAGGGCGCTTATGCCGTAACGGCCTGCTCCGAGATACTTCTCCGCCGGCGCCACTGCTCGTCCACCGCTTCAGAGTCATTACTCGCAGCCGAGGCATACGAGCCGAAGTCGACGGGCGATGGGGGAGGTGCGGGCGTCGGCTCGATGTTTTGCGTGCGGATGGTGAGGGGCGGCGAGGCCTTGAGCGCGGCGGCGACGTCGTGCGACAGCGTGCGGTGGGAGTAGAGGGAGAGGCGCTGGCGGGGATTTGATTGGGACATTTTGACTGGGTTGATGTGCGTGGAGTGGAGACTGGTGATCGATGATCGGTGGGGGATTTGTGGGGGTGCGTTGGGTTTATAGCGCGCCGGAGGGCTGGGTGTGGCGGTTGATGGTAGCCGCAAGGCTGAGGGTTTTTTTTATTCTGGGCGAGGGCGAGAAGCTTGGGCCGGTGGGACGGGGAAGAAGGGCCGATGAGTGTGAGGGTGTGTGGGTCTAGTAAAGCGTCTCCGGTATGAAGGCTGAGATGGATGTCGCGCAGGATGCGGGAGGGGGCCTTTAAGTATGGGGCGAAAGGAGCTGATTCAGGAAAGGTAAGTCGAGCGACGTCAGTGCGAAATATTCTGGTCCATATGTTAGCCACTGGAATGTCGGCCTCGGCTTCCCCAGAACGTGAGTCAGGTTCCGCGTTCAGTACTTACAAGTGCGAAGGCTAGGGGATCCCGGACAAGTCGATCGACGAAAGCAGGATTCTAGACGTTTGGTGGGAGTTGAAATTGTGGGGGAGATTTGAAGATTTGACCAGTATCCAGGGAAGGGCGGACTCCACCTTAAGTAGATTGACCCTCCCCCATATCCAGCCTTTTTCCCATAATCCCACACCGACTCTCCCATGGGGGGGGGGTGGACCAAGCCCTTGCTTGCCTTCTTCTACGCCGGTTTGTGCTCGGATATCCAGAAATGAGCGAAAAAGAGATATGTCACTCTACCAATTGCCAGGGTGGGAGGAGCGCGGGGGCAGCACTCACACACGCAAGCCTTGGGGGTGGATAACTGGGGTGGTCAGCCTCGTTGTTTGAGAGGGCAGGACAAGAGGCGTTGGGCCATCCCACGCGCAAGGCCATTTACTAGTCCGCATTTCCCCCCATCACCACCACGGCAACCTCCCGTCCCCAATTACCCTACGATATGGTCCGCACGACTGCAGCCGCAAGCCGCCGCCGACTGCCGTGCCTACGGCCCTCTCCAACCGGGGCGCGGCGCCGCAACGGGCAATCCATGGGTGATGCGGAATACCCTAGCCCTGAGGTAACTCCTTAGTCCCTTCCCCAGACAAAAAATAAATCCGGGGGAGGAAACAAGTCTTTCCAGAATACGGATGTAATAGCACCAATCCGGCGCGGGATGCCCCCCGGCACGGGACTGGACATGCCACGTTTGGCGTTACGATTCTCCGCCAGCCAGCCATTCCCGGTGTGCCCTCTTTCCGGCTCCAGGGCTGATATGTGAGGATTTGCTGTGCATTCCCGTTGCTTCCTGCCCCCCGTCTTTTGGCCCTTGATGTCGTGGTACTACTGGTACATTCATATTGCCTTGCATTGTGCGGTGACGTCCGGCTTCCGGCCGTGGAGCCTCCCTGCGTATCTTGACGCCCTGCAGGGGAGATTGGCAAGCCTAGCATGACGCTGGGTGGGCGCACATTTGGGGCGAAAAGAAAGAAACATGGCCGCTCACGCCCGTGCTTCGTCAAAGTGCTGCCCGAAGTGCGAGAGTCCGTCTTACAGCGCCAGTAACCAGACGCACTGCGCGCAGAATCGCGGGGGGCGAGTCAGGATTGCGACTGGCTGGCTGGGAAGATGGAAGGCGGGGGAAACTGAATGTCCGAAACTGAATGCGAGGAAGGAAGACACGGGAGGATCCTAAGACGTGCGCGGTTGCATCGTGCGACTGGCCGGGATCAGTGACCTTCTCTCGTCTCTCGCTCTAACTGATGTTCCCATCCCCACATCCGACCCGTCCAGACGAGCCAGCCGCGCGTTGTGCGCACCAAGCTTCAGCCTGCAGCGGCACGCACTGGCAAGCGGACGCGCATTCCCCAGACCGCCTTATGCACGCCCGCATCGTCGGGCGCCGGGAGCCTGTGGAGATGCACCAGCACTCCATTCCTATTTGCAAAGCTGGCCCAAACAACATGCGGGTTGCTGCTGCAGTGACAGTGATGGTTGTAGGCTTGCAGAAACGCAGTTGCAGCAGCACCGGGGCAGGCAAACAGTTAACGAGCCGGAGTGTGGAGAGAGTGTAGAGTCAAGATCAGTGCACCCAAAGTACCCGGCGGACCCGGCGGCGCCCAGGCCCGAAGGGGCTCCTGCAAAGCGCCCGCTATACCTATTTAGGTTAGCACGGGCCGCCCGAGTTGCGCCCGGCACCGCCACCATTTGACCTATGCCAAGCACGGCAGAAACCCTTAACCTTAACGTCTACGTATACCCTCAAAAACTCAACCCGCGATGCACTTACAACGCGTTAGTCAATAATGTCGAAAGTTCTACTAAATTACTCAGTTTAATGAGACGCTTTGGTGGCCTAAATTTTATTCTATTTTATCTAGGTTGTATGGTGTGGTTGATGATGTTGTGTTAACGTCGGATTTTGATAGGGTCTTGGCAGTTTGCAGGGGGGATGTGCGTGTATACGGGGGGGGTGAATTTAAGCGCCAAGATATATCTTCCCGTGACTTTTTTGGGCGACGCTCGCCTACCGCCCGCCTGCGCCGGACGCGCCGCCAAGCGCCCCTATTTCTTGGCAGGCGGGCACCGGCGGGCGGCGCCGGGTCTCCGCCACACGGGCGGATTGGGAGCACTCGTCAAGATCCGCCCCAACATTCTCCCCACGCCGCGCCAAACAAAGGCCGGGGAGGGCCCGGGTTGCTGGGAGAAACTGGGGAGTCGCGCAACGCCATCAGCCGTGGGGGAATTTCCTGGGCTGTCGGTCCGGACGCCGCTACTGCGTACACTTCGCCCAGTTCTCTCCGCCGTCCATGCACCCCAAAACTGCCACTAACGATGTCCGCGTCTCCGCGACGTTGCTTCCGCCCTTCCGGCCAGCTTGGGCCACTGGCCTCAAACGAGGCACTTGAGTCGTGGAGGGAAACGATCGTCTGTTCTGGAAGGCCCAGTAAAACGGACGCGTGGGGCGTGGAGATGCTTTTTCCCCCAGGAGTCCAGGAGTCAGGTTCGGATGTCGGGAAGATCATGGCATCAACAATTATGGCTTGTCCGATTTAACCTTTAGCGGCGTCGCCATCTTGCGCTATTGTTGCGGAACGAGTTTCCCGTCATCTTCCTTGCGACTCGGCAAGCTTCATGACATTCAGAAATAAGAATCACGAAGGGACAAACTGTGCTTCCCGATCATGCCATTATGCGGGGGCGAGTCTTTAACGGTAGAGTGAACATCGGACAGCGTCTGCTCTCGTCAAACCCCAGGTTTCGGGTTGAGCTTGCAGCGAATAGCTTTCGATGCCATCATGTCAAGTTTGATTTAAGTCTTTCTCATGCATGCCAATGGCAAAGGAGGTTGTACTTCCGTATGCTCGGGCTGAGATCTCAAGCTACTCGTTACCCTGCTGTGAATCGCTGTACTCCCACATACGTGAGGCCGGTGATATGGTTAGTGACGGTCCAGCCTGCTCTCCAGGTTTGCTGTCTTCCTGAATCCAGTTTGAGGGTGGTTGTAAGAAAATCAATCGAAGAAGTCGAAACAAACAACCACAAAGAAGGGAAGATCGTCCAGTATCGTGTCCAAGTTCCTATCACCTCTCGGCACGGCATTTTCCGCGGCCCAAGCGAGCTCAAAGATAAGTCTTCCGAACTCCGATTGTCGTGCCTAAACATTCTTCAAGATCGTCCTGCGTCCTGCTGCAACGGTGATGGGGTTGTTACGCTGTGTACCAATAGGCTCGCCTGGCCCCATGCGGAGATGCAGAGGATATGCAGCAGCCACGATAAGCTTTTGTGCATCGTGGGGATATGGGGTAAAGGTTTGATGACCTCCAGGACCTCCGCG